TTTTTCTTAGGTAGAGCTATGTTTTTATCATCCCACTGACCAAGTGTAGCCATGGCATGCAGTTCCTATCTGAGATAAACCATAAAAACAACTCCTGACCAAGTAATGATCTCAGGCACTCAATGGTATTTCCTGTGCAATGCCTATATGGAGCTATATAAAGTAGGCATAGTGAAAATCAAAATCCACACACAGAAATCCCTCCTAAAGGAGACTGATGAACTCTGTTGATAAGGTTTGCTTCTGAAGATAAAATACCCAGCTACAGCAAGGAAACCCCTTAAAGTCCTTCATCACATGCAAGACCTCATCTGTCCTCTTGCTGAAAAGTGTCATAACAAGTCTTTCCCTAAAGATTTCATGTTTTTCAGCAGAATCAATGACTGTGGCCAGGGTGATGAGTATCCACTCTGGGGAGGGCATGCCTCTATCAAAGGGATATTTGTAATGAAGCCCAGGGTATAATTTTTAGTTTGCTAGGGCTAAAACAAATTTCTTCATGACATCAGTAGAAAGATAACCAAGCTAAAATTATTAAAAATCTTATACTCAGTGAGCAAAGAAGCCCTGATAACCAGATCTGCAAAACTGGAACAACAAGCGTTTTATTTGCCAAGCTCCCAGACATTTTGTGGTCATGGCCGTGGAACTTAGCCTATTTATTTTTGGTCAGTGCTGCTGCTGAAAAGACTAAAGGCAAAGGTCATCACGGAAAGACGTAATTACATGATATCCACTATTCTGTCTTTCAGGTGTTGAAAGGTAAACATATACATACATGAGAGGCCACATGGTCATTCTTCAGATTGTTACTGAACGTGGTTCTGTTTCTGAAGAAAATATTCATGTTAATCTAGGGAATGATAAGAGCAGGAGAACAAACGTTTTGAGACACCAAAGGCCATGCTAATGCTGTAATAGTACCTGCGCTGACAATCCAGTTGGATAGAGATGCACCTGAAGGGTCCCAAGAGAGCTCAATCATGTAGGCTGTATCCAAAATCAATAACCATGATGGAGCAAAGAAAAAATATGGGACATTGGCATTTGTCTTGTTACCTTTGCCTGCTGACTATCCAGGACCAATGGGTAGAACTGGTGTCAAAAGGCCAACGTGCACCTTCAGTTTAGCCTCCACAATCTAAAAACCCTGCCAAACTGCCTTGGGAACCAACCTCTGTCCTAAAGTCTAGTAACAGAGGATGCAGCTGGAACTAAGAGTGGTATCCAACGATGTAAGAATCAACCACGCGCAGGAATGACAGGAAGGCACCATAAGACGTTTCAGGAAGTACCTCTACATATTGTTCTCTCTATCACCTACTGTTACTCACCTCCAGAATAAAGACATCCAGAACACTAGTCAACAGATGAAAAATGACTGCTGCATGTTTAATGCAAGGCAGAATCATCATAGAATCAGTAGTGTTATTAATTAAGTACACAACAGACAGAGCAGTGGAGATCTCAAATGTGAAGCCTGTCATCTCACTAGAAGGTTGAAAAGAACTAAAGCACAACAACAATCACAGGACAGGAAGATCTTAATGGCAGAGGTATACTGAAAAGCACTGAAAAGGGTATGTTATTTCCCAAGTAATAAAATAGACAAACTTCAAAGATCTTTAATGAACTGAACTCATCCACAAACAAAAAAAAAAAAAAAAAGGAATGAAGCATTCCTACTTTCATCCCATACCATGAATGATGAGAAAAGGTCACCTCAGTGCACTGAGGTCCTTGCCACCAAAAGCAGAACAGCAGGCATGAAAGTTAGAAACCTACTGAATGTCTGAAAGAATGTGAACTTGCAGGGGTGACAGACATGCTCTCTGTAAGTGGTTTCTGTGTGAACAGTCACATTTTGATAATAGCTGTTTCCCAGTAACTCTGTGTTTAGACAGGCCCTAATAGATGAGCTAACTCAGAATCACTTGCACACATTACAAATCACAGTCCTTTTAAATACTATGGGTATTATCAATAAAGACCCACAATAGAATATTGGGTTTTTTTCCAAGTATCTGACCTTACCCAAATCAAATTCAGTATGAGCTGTACACCCAGTGTTATATTTCAAAAAGCATTATGCAAAAGAGATAGATTTAATTCCAAGCAACTTTGCAATTGCACATTTTAATTCTTATTTAAAGAAAGAGTGATTCTCAAGGGCTTGTTAACATTAAAACATAATGGCTTGAGATTAGACAGCTTTTATGCAGAATTTGGTACCTCTTTTTGCTAAGCAGAAGATGGCATTTTACATATTTATGTAACTAAATAGCTTAATTTTAAATCAGACTCTTCGCTTCCATGTTGTTAAAATAGTGACTGACATCTCCCATTTACTTGATGACACTTTTTATTCAGATTTGCCAGGCTGCATGGTTGGAAATTGTAATTCAAGTAAACATATACAAAAGCTGTATTTTAAAATAATTATCAAGTGTCATTCAATTAAAATATAAGAAAACTTTGTTGTAAACACCAGCTAGTTTTGACTATGCATTTGGGTACCACAAATAAAAGCAAGTGCTTCTAATTAATAGATCTTTCATTGTAACTACTACATCTCATCTTCTGAACTTCTACTTGAAGTGATCAATTTTTTTCCTGTTTTCTGAAGTCTGAGTATCTCAACTTCAACTGAACTAGTAGATGAACAGAATTAGATTAACAAACTAGAACGAGAGAATATTCCTTTTCTGTGCCTAGAAGCAGCTAATCCTGAGACAAAAAGGGTTAGGAGATCAAGTTCCAGTGCCAAATGTTTAGCTGGTAACTTTCTTTCCGCTTAAGAGTTTTCACTTCTATTTATTCTGTTTTTAAAGATGCTCTGCAAACTACCTGAATTTCAAATGCAGTTGTAGGATTTAACATATATTATCAATTACAAGCTTTAAAAATATGAAGTTTATTTGATTTAAGAAAAAAACACATTAATGGAAAAACTTTCTATGCAACACAGAAAAAAAAAGAAAAACTTAACATTCTTGAACTCCAGTGCTGCTGTATTACTTCAGATAAAGTGAAAATTACTGTATTACTAATTAAACCTTTAATTGGTTAAGAAAACCTGGAAGTTTCAGTCATGTGATTATCAGAGTTACTAATTACAACACTTAAAAGTTCCTAATCTAAGGGGAACAGTTCACAGATTTAAAATAGTAAGTAGCATAATCCTATGCATTCAAATCATCTTGCTTTCGTCCTTTACCTACAATCCAAGGTTGAAGGGGTTTTGTCGGTTTATTTTTTCCAATGCTAAATGGACCTTTGCACAACATCACATGATACCAATCTCAGAAAACTTACCAAAAAATTACAAGCCAGAAATACATTTCTGGCACTGTCATCCACACTCTAGCTAGTTTGGAACACCACTAACCGTGTCTGAGCAACAAGCTACCAATAAAAGACTTCAAACACTACAGCAAGTTCTATTTTGGATGTCTTCAGGAGAGGAGGAGAAAAACATTCAGCTACATTGCAAACACATTGGAGAACATTTAGTTTGATTTTTCAAAGACAGTAAATATCAGTTATCATAGGTCTTATGAAACTGGAAGCTCTACTCAGACATACAATGTCTGAAGACAAGAAGCACAGAAGTTGCTTCTCATTAAATGTGGACATGCACAGTAGAAGAGTTTAAAACCTTGTCTTCAGCCAATCTTTCCGTACATAAATCAAAGAAGCTTCATTAAAAGTCCTGGAAGATCCAAGGACCTTTTGAGAGCAAATAAGGTCTACAGACAGAAAGATAATTTATTCCAGTTTATTAGTTCCTTTCAGTTCCTCTCTTTCATCCACTACTGATTTGATCCACTAAACTGAGGGAATTCACTGGCAGGCAAAGACCTAAAGCTCACCAGCAAAGTCACCAAGGAGACACGTTTGACCATAACTAAAGGAGGGGAAAAAAAAAAAAAAAAAAAAACACCAAAAAACACTACACCATTTTACTCCCATCCTCTTTATCGTAAACAAGGGACTAACTTTAAAAAAAATGCACTTTCTACCTAGCTTACTGTGAATCAAAAACATTTTTTAAAACCTTTCATCACTAGTTCAATCTCATTAACCTGGGTGATAAACAAAGTTGTTTGAAATATTTTTCCTAACAAATATAATACAAACATAACACAAACATAACAGTTGTCACTTTTTCCTTTTCCAGGTGATTTTGTAAATGCTGTGTGGCCCTCCCCCGCAAAAGGGTCCTCACACACATCATTAGCATTTCTGAAAATCATCCACAGATACCTTCATTCCCTTGTCATCCACTGACAAATTTAATAAATCCCACTTAAATTTATTGTGGAATTTTTTTTTTTTTTTAAAGAAACCACAGAAACTTAAGCCTACTGTCCTAGTTAAACACTGTTTAATTCAATTCCATCACGTTCAGTTTCTACAAGTTCATCATCTCAAATACAGAGACAAGAATCGTGCCTACTCCCTTAGATGAATTCTGTATCCACACTACAACTGTTTCATCAGAAAACATATTTCATCAGAAAACATATTTCATCAGAAAACTCATGGTAGATTCAGTCTGAACTACCATAGAGTCTTCTTTTCTGAATTTACTTTTCAACTCAGCTCCTCTCAATCTCTTCATTAATAGCACTTACAAAAGCTGCTAGTATTTTTAAATAATGCTTCTTTTTTTAATCCACATGCAAATTAAGCCCTCTAATCATATTCTTAATATTTACAGAGGAAATACAGCATTAGGCTTGAGGCAGTCAATTTTCAGATGGAAAACACTAAAGGAAGTTTTATATTAGATACTACACATCAAGGTCAGAACACTAATATTTAAAGTTAATAACACTCTATAAGTGATTGATTACCATCAACAAGCTACCTCATGCATTCACAGAATTCCCTAACTTCTGTGCTCTCCAGTACTTCTCAAATTAAGTATACTTCAAAACAGTCACATTATTTGACTGTAAGAAAGTGCAAATATCTCTTTCTTTTAAAAATCATACCTTGATCAGAAAGAAAATCCAGCATGGTCTGGAGAAGGAAAGACAGATGCCTGACACACAGAGCAGGATTGCCCATTCTTCTGGAAGCATATACAAGTTCATGAAGCAAACGCATCTGTACTGCAGCCCATCCTCTATGAGTTCCTATAAAGTAAGCAGTCATTCAATACTTTTTAAAGCTGGAAGTCATCACAAACCAATTCGTTTTGGTTTTCTTTATATACTAAGCAGTAAATTAATGACACTTATAAAAATCACCCAATGGAACTAATAATTACAAAATCCAATCTTGTACTCAAAACAAAAGAAAAATTAGGATTTTTGAGTTTGCATGAATATTTAAATGTGAAAGCAATTTTTGTTTTATATGCTTGTCTATCAACTAATAAATTTATCATCAGAATTCAGAAAAAGAAGTTTACACTTCCCATGAAGTAAAAACAAAATGATACAGAAAACCTTTAAAGTTTTATGGTTTTTAAATTCTCTGAACAAGAAGTGCACATGAGATTTCATACAGAAACTTCATTTTTATCCAAATCAAGTACTTCTTAGCTCTCTTTAAAGATCAAGCAAAAGATATTTTCTCTGAATGCTTTCCTGGCCATTAAAAGTCAGTAAAAAGCAATAAAACTACAGGACATGAAGCACATTTCCTGATTTTCAGTCTTTAAAAACTAAGTTTCAGACTATAAATTATTTTGTATTTGCAACATAACTATGGTAACAATAAATAGATCATCACAATGTAACTTTTCTTTCAAAAGCATAATATGCAGTACATTTCATGAAACTTAACCTGCTCTTAGTAGTAAGAAAGAGCAATACTTCTTAAATAACAGATATTCCAAACTGTGCACTACTTCATAAGCTTCTAAACAGCCTTCCTTCCAATATTACCCTTCAGCATTCAGCAAACTTTTCTTGAAATATTTACTGCAACCAAACCTTGAGACTTTATATTTTGCACACAAGAGTCTCATTATTTTTCATGTGTGAAAGGTCGTTCTTATCAAGTAGCTCTTACAGTTTACAGTGATCTTCCCATATGTCTCTGAAACAGCTATTTTAGGAATAAAATCTGACAAATCACTTCAGTGCAACATAAAGATAAGGTAAAAATGAAAGATAAACACCAATCATGTCACTTTTGGGGTTTTTTTAATCGTCACTTCTTGCAGAACTTCTACAACCTCTTCTCCCAACACAGTCCCATCCCAGTCCTCTCCTTTTCTATCATAGGCCACAGCATATTTTTTCCAGCACGTTCCCTCTTCCTAGACTCTTAGTGCCTTTCTGTCTAGTCCACTTGGCATTTTCTACCTCCTCCCACACACCATTTCTTTCAGTGACTGCTAAAACCACACCAGTTTAAAAAAAAAAAACAAACAAAACTAACCATCCACATGTACAGTGGGTCATCTACATGCCTGTTTAGTCAATGGAGCTAAGGGAGGTTGGAAAATATCACCTAGTGGCTAGACAGATGAGTTTTTCCATATTCTCCCTTGACTGAACTGATAAGATAGCTCCATTATTTCAATGGCTAAGTGACCTAGCATGTACAGAAACAACTACGCTTACAATTGAACTTACAAGACAACATCAAACTGGAATGCTAACAGTAGTCAACGTACTCTCACAAAACAGAGAATAATATTCCAGCTGCTGTTCATTCATATCTAAACCAGTTCAGACTTTTCATACTGGTGAACTCCACCTCCTTTCCAACAATACATGCTCGGCCCATTGCTTGCTGCTCCTCTCCTGCAGCTACAACATTTAGTGAATGGTCCCCAAAAATGCTAGTATACAAAAGAATGCAAGTTTTTGGGCAACATGGAAAGGTTTACTCAAAAAGAATATTAGCTGTCTCTTCCTTTAGAGGAAAAATGCAGCATAGTATACTAAAATCAAGACAACTTTTAAAATTATTACTTTATATACAGCTTTAGATAACATTGATAAAATTGTTGAAAAATAGCTTACCTAAAGAAGGGCAGCAAGCAGCACATAACTTGCAGAAAGTGAACACAGTATTTAACAGCTACAAGAATTGGCATGTGTTCTTATGAACTATTTTTCCTTTGGTTTTTAATAGATGCAATAAAATAGTAATTCAAACAATATATAGCATCTAAAAACCATTGAAATGTCTTAACCAAATGCTACTCTTACAGATAACATCATTCTAATCTAATTTATGGAAAAATGCGACATATTTGACACTACAGATGCAGATATAATTACATTTTATGGATGTATGAGTGTCTATGTACAAAAACATGTAAAAGAATCTTTCATTCTTTCATTGTAAGATCAAACAGCAACAAATACCAAAAGAAATACATTTTCTGATACACAAATTGAAAGCACTTTAATTGAAAAAATACTCGAAATAAAATATGACCTTTTTTGTACTGAGAAGCGTATAATCAAAAACAAAGACATTTTTAGAAAAGAGTAGAAATGAAGCTCTCGTAAATAGAACATAATTATTTGCTGCAGAGGAATACAACACCACAATCAGCAGTGGCTCATAGAAATTTGAAATTATTGAAAGCAACACTAAGAAACAGTGAAGGTACAGTGTTAAAGAACTGCTCTATTTGCCACAATTAGTTTCAGACAGGCAAATTATTCTGGTTTAATTTGAAATCTCTCAAGGAAATTATAGAAAGCTAGTTGAGTGACCTACTATGCTAATCCATAATTTCCCAGAGACACTTACCTTTGCTGAAATCTTTAGGATCCAATGATAAGCTATAGCCAGGGAGAGTTTCCAAAAGCAATTTGTAGCAGGCCCTCCACCCAGGTTCTGGGATGCTAGGTGCAGCACACTGCATTGCTGCTATACGCTTGAAAAAAGCAGACTTTCGGTGAAAACCAATACGTTCATACAGCTCAGAAAGAATGCTGTAACGCTGGATTTTTTCTTCTTCTGAAAGCTGAAATTTAAAGGGAAAAGAGAAAAGGATAGTTTTTAATCAAAATTTTAAAGCATACATCCGAGTTAAAAAAAAAAAAAACCACACAAGAGGAAAACAAATGTAGTAGACCTATCTCCAACACTACAGAAGGCCAGTAATTTTGCAACTAGCCAGTCATGACAGCTTCTACTGCCAAGAAAACTTAAGCTTGCTTCAAGTTCAACAGCTAACGAAAGCAGAAAAGATAGAGTTCTTTAGCAACTTTATTTGTCAGTAGTACTAACAAGTAAACAGTCAAAACAGTCAACAACAGCTAAACAGCTCCACATTTTATGGAAATTATTTAACAAGATGTTTTTATGTGCATAATAAGAATGCAAAAACATACCACTTCCAAAATGTATTGATTTACCAACTTAAGCATTTTCATCCCTTTAAGATTAAATCCAATTATTAGTCTTGAAATCTCAGACTATGAAAGCAAAGAAACTACTGTCTCAACTTTTATATGTCTCTGATCTTGTAAACCACAAAATTTTCATTCTATGATACTATACATATGCAGACTGCCAACTAGTGAGGAAGGATTTAGTGAAAAATTAAGCCCTGTTAGGCTTAAAGTTGAAACAAACTTGATGAGTGACTACCAACATGTGCTTTAGTTTATCAATATATTGGCACAAGTCCCAAGTAACCATTCTTTCCCCTCTGCTTTGAATGACAATCTTGCTTTGAAATCAGACAGCCAAGAAGAAGCTGCCGCAGAAACTCTGGAAACTACCAACTAGTTCAAGGCTACATCCCAGTAACAAGCACTGTTGAGTTCTGAAAGTGGACCAATGGTGACACCTAGTGCACAATATCTGGCATGCACAACCAAAAGCACTATATCTTAAATTAAAGCTGTTAACACGTTTTGCAAAGGCGTTTAAAGTGACAAGCTTCATACAAAAATAACACTAAAGGACAGTAACAGCATTTCTGCAACTCATTCTTCAAAACTGAAAGAATCAATCAGTGGATTCTCTGCATTTAACTTCAGATACTTAAAGCCTTGGGAAGTCAAAAGATGCTAGCCACACCAGTTAACTTTTACAGAAATAATTAGCTCTTATAAATTAAGCTTCAAAACATCTTTTAGTCACTTAAATACTAATATGATAACAAAAAAATAGTCTGTTTTCAATAGTCATTTCTAATTTTGGACATATAGATATAAGAGACCTCAAAGAAGCCTAGAGTATTCAGAAGGCACCATGACCTTAACTGATAGTTCGAATCTTAGTACTTCAGGATATAAAGAGACACAGACAGATAGAGGGACAAAAAGAAAATACAGAACAATTTTAAACCAGTTTATCAGAATCCCCAAAAGCTATCATTCAGAAAGAACATGAGGTGTCAGATTAAGATTACCTACTCTAACAAAAAAGAAGCTGCTCCACCTTTTTTTTTTCCTCTTTTTTCCATTTATGTCATTTTAAAAATGTTAGCACAATAAAAAAATATGGCAGCAGAGTTGAAAAGGGCATGACTGCATGATCATGTACTAAAGTTAGAAAAACTTAAAAAAAATACTATCAAAAGCTATTCCTCAAATACATAATACTGTCGATGTTCACACACCTATGGAGACTTAAGTTTTCAAGATGAGAAAAGACAAGGTCATGCTATTTACATAGACAGCAATGCTCACTAATAACTGGAACAACTATCAAAGAGGCAACAGATTCTCAGAAAGTTTTATTTTTATCATATCTGAGTAAGTTTTTAACACTGCTACCTAACTTGTTGCTTAATGGTTGTCCACAAAGTTACTCAAATATTTTCTGCAGTTGCAGGAAACTGTTTTTTCATCTCCACAAAGACAGCAAAATTGCATTTTCCCTCAGCACAAATAGTTATGTGTTACCACCCAGGGATTTAAAAGAAAAAACAAAAAAACAAAAAAAAGAGAGAGAAGAAGAAGAAGAAGAAAAAACAAACCACACAGATAGTTCAAGTAATTAATTCTGGGAAGACTGCAGCAGGCATTCTGCAGGCTGTTACTGTAGCATTCACAAACATCTTTCCTGACTTTACAAATTTATAAAAGCTTAAAGCGGCTGCAAAAGAGCCAACCCCTGAAGCACAGCATCTTTTCCATTTGGTTAATTTTCATTTAACTGTTATAACAAACCAAGTTAGCAATTGCACCTGTAAAGGCTGTAGTTCACTATCCAAGCAACTGAGCCAGTTTTTTCACAGGCTTGTTTCAAGAGGGTAGCTTTTTATTTGTTTTTTAATTATTTCTTACTATATTAAAATTCTGTAATCTCACTTTCTTTGTAACTAGATGTTACAATTTATCCCTCATAACTGGATGCAAAGATAAGTCTTATCACCCTGCAGCTCTCCTATAATCAGAAAACACCAATTACGTAACATTACTACCCTGGGTAGGAGACCAAATATATGGAAAGAAACTAGTTTTCCTGTTTATCAGAGGCATACACTTTATCCTGTTAGGTGTTTTTTCTACTGTCAAATATTGGTTGTGCTGATGTTCTCTCTACCTGCAAGACAAAAACACTGTCCTACAGTTTGTTTTCTTAACTTATCACAGGATGACTCCTCCTTTGATTTAGTCTAAATTATAACTATTATCTGCTTCCATGCTATATACAGTAAATCTTGAAAAGCTGTAAATATAATTCCCAGCCATACCCCTCTTTATGGAAAATACATTCCCCAACACTGGAAAGATTATCTTACTGCTATTTCTCATAATAATGCTTCTAGAAACACTTCCACCCAAGCAAATGACAAAATAGTAGACGTGCAGTTACAAGCTAGATGAATGTCATCCTTGATTGAAATCAATAAAGGTGAAGAATGGTTCACAGCTCAGCAGTGGGCCTCAATGCCCAAATAATCAATATGGTCAAGGTGTTGATTTGTTGGGTTTTTTTAAAGCAACCACATACTGAACTTCTACAGTGGCATAATGATAACAGCAGATTTAGCTGACATCAAGAAATGAACAAGTGATCATTAGGTATACAAGGTACAGCAGAATATTCAGTGGAAAAGACCCAACCCAAACTATTAATATGATTTTTTTTTTTAATTTTAAAAATCAATTAACACCAATATCACTAGAGAAGAAAAATGATCATGCTCCTTAATATCCAATTTAACATTTCTTTTTTTCTAGAACACATCTACTGAGTACCATCATCATCTAGTTGGATCTCTCATATTGTGCAAATGGTAGACTTACACTCAGTGATACAGACTCATCGTAGAACAGCCAAGGCTGGAAGGGACCCTTTTGTGAGAAAGGGAGTCTAGGTGAGATTATCTAGCACCCTGGCCAGTATCATCTTGAAAACCTCCAGCAATGCAGACTCCACCATGTCCCTAGGGAGGTTATTCCAGTGAATGATTGCTCTCATTGTAAAAAATTTTTTTCTTATATTGCGATGAAGCCTCTCCCAGTGCAACTTGTACCCATTGCCCTTTGTCTTCTTCATGTGGCTCCTTGTGACCAAAGAGCCTCCGTCCTCTTTGTAGCTGCCCTTTAAATACTGGAATACTGTGATGAGATCCCCCCTGAGCCTTCTCTTCTCCAGGGAGAAGAGACCTAACTCCTTCAGCCTTTCCTTCCTCATCAGGCAGGTTCTCCAGCACTTTGATCATCTTTGCGGAACTCCTTTGGATCCTCTCCAGTCTGTCTGTGTCTTTCTTGAACTGTGGGGACCAGAACTGGACACAATACTCCAGGTGCTGCCTGACAAGGGCTGAGTAGAGTGGGATGGTCACATCTCTTATCTCAGCTAGCAATGCCCCTGCGGATGCAGCCCAGGATCCAATTTGCCTTCGCTGCTGCAGCAGTGCATTGCTGACTCCTGTTCAGCTGGTTGTCTACCAGGACCCCCAGGTCCCTTTCAACAAAGTTGCTCCCCAGCCATATAAAGATCCTAGCCTGTACTGGGCTCTTTGGTTATGTTGTCCTAGGTGCAGGCCTTTGCACTCGTCCTTGTTAAACCTCATACAGTTCTTGCTAGCCCACTCTTCCAGCCTGTCCAGGTCTTTCTGTAAAACGGTTCTCCCTTCTGATATGTCCACCTCACCACCCAGTCTGGTGTCATCATCAATCCCATCATCCAGATCGTTTTTGAAGATGTTGAACAGCGTGAGGCCCAGTATCGATCCCTGAGGAACCCCACTTGCGACAGGCTGCCAGCCAGAGTAAAAACCTTGGATCACCACCCTCTGAGTGCGGCCTGTTAGCCAATTTCCTGCCCATCTTGCCGGCCACCCATCCAGTCTGTATCGTGCCAGTTCGTTCAGCAGAAGGCTGTGGGAAACAGTGTCAAACACTTTGCTGAGGGTTGCTAGATGATATCTGCATTAACTCCCTAAATTCTGACTGAGCTACAACAAAAATATGTAAATATATCTGATTTTTATCTCAAGGTTTTCCAGACAGTGGGAGATCTGGCTTTATAAGTATATTTTAAATAGCATGACAATGCATACTGAGGCATGCTTTACATGCACAAAGATTTATTTGTGGGGTCAATAGCTGATGGCATACATCAAGTTCAAAGGTTCTTTAGGGGAAAAACAAAGCAGAGAGAAAGAGACCAGAAGAAAAGCAGTGGGGCCTCCAGAACACGCTTCTCTGGTTCTCTCCAACGCAGCAGATGACAAAAATGATGATGCCTTCTCACCATGCTTTTTCACTAGATGCATTTCATCAGGACCCACTCAAACTCTTAGTTGTTTCTATCTGGGACATTATTAGAGCTGGCTGGGGGAAGCTTTAATCAGGGCACGTGTTGCATGCTGACTAGCTGCCAAGCCTTCTACTTGGGTATTATTCGGTAATACTTATCAGCTATTTAAATGACTTCATACTTTGCCATTCACTAAGTCTTATTTTTTTCCTCTGATGTAAAGTGAAAGTTTCAACATTGGTGGTGTCAGGGAGAAGAACAGGTGATTCTCACAATGACAGTAATTGCTTCCATTAGAAAAACAACATAACAACACTATTGGAGTTTGCAGGCCACAAGAATAACAGTGCAAGAACAACAAGGGAAAAATACTGCCACAGCAGCTTACGTGAGAGGCTACAGAGCTGCCAGCATAAGACAGACTACAAAATTAAAGGCAAGGCCCTTAGCATTGCAAGGATTATGGCAGTTAAGGTACTCTGCAACAAAATTTATGATTGTTAGGATAGCTTATCAATTAATTAATTTCTCATTTATGTTGGGTTAGAAAATTTACTCCACAAAAAGGATTCTCTGCAAATGAAAGTATTCTACCTCCCTCATAAATTTGCTGTCCCCATCTGGGCTTAATAAACTCAATGGTGTGGACTTAAACTGCTAGTCTTACCAAGATGTAATGAGCAAAAAGGAAAAATGGTAAGAAACCTAACAGCTTTTTGTGAATTCTTTCAACCACAGCAGTCTCTCTGTAACCAGTGACACCAAGCCTGAGACACTTTTAAAGTGTTAGTCTTGTTCTGTGCTGGTACTGAGCATTTTTCTCAAAGTTCCAAATACTGATTTTCTCCTCTGAATTCCCTTCTGATTTGGCCTAACTAAAACTTCACACTACAAAACAAAAATTCAATTAACAACACTAGTCAGACTCTTAAGCTCACTTTGCAACAGGCCATTCCTGATTTGCTCACAGTTTCATTGAACAAGGTACAATCAAGGGGAAAAAAAAAAAAAAATCTATTACAGAGCTGTCCCAAGCAACTATTTTTCCCTTGTACATTGTCACAACAGAACAACAATGGGATTTTTTTCCTTCACAAGGGAGAATAACCAATAGTCTTTAATCTCAGACTAAGTCCTCGTGTTTTTAGATGAGCCCTGAATACCTTTTAAACCAGACTCATGGATGTGAAAATCCTCAGAAGTCAAGTCCTAGTGAGAAGGAAAGTAGTGATACAGAAAATAAACTGGAGTCTCCTGAATCTAAGTACTTTCACACTTCAGTATAATCTCTCAAATGAGAAGAGAAAAATAACTGGACTTTCCGCACTGACCTGGCGAAGGTTGATATAAACTGCATTCTGAAGAAACTCAGAGGCTTCCATGCTCCTTTTCTGTATTGCCAGGACTCTCACTGCCTTCACACAGGCTTCCAGTTCAATCACACCAGCATTCTTGTACTTGAAGAGGGAGAAAATTAAAGTAATATTGAAGTATTGCACCTGTTAGATTTTATAAGTATTTTTGCTCAACACATAAAATCAGCTGTCACATCTCCCAAACCCAGCAATTCCTTAATGCTAGTGACTATACTGAAATTACAACATATGCCTAAGTGAAAATTAAGGTGTTATCTAAAATGTTATTATGCAAAACAATGGTTTTCAGCCTCTTCACTCAGTTTTCTCATTCTGAGACACAGCACAGCTTCAGTCTGAGAGTTCAGACGAGGAGAAAAGGTGGGAATATTAGTATAATTTTGGATAACCTCATATATATGATGGGTGTGGGTAGTGTGTCTGCAGCAAAGAAATAAATTCTACCTTCACAGTGTAACAGGTATGTAAGCAAGAAGGTCTGTTTTACAGTAATTCATCAACACTTAAACTGTTCTATCATGATAAATGAAGAATTAATTTTGCCTTTTCTACTTATTACAAAATATGCTATATAGCACAGGAAGCTGTAGCAACAGAACTTTAGTTTTCCTACATCGATTTTCTCTTTAGTTAGAACTATCACTGATGATGAATTACAAACCATTCTGAGTTTTCTAGTATCTATTTACAAAACATTTTCTGTAAATGACTGTTTCAGTTATTTAGCTTGCTTAAGAAAGGCAGGAGACAATGTAGATGTGTATTGATCTGTTTGAGCTCAGACAACAAACACAGGCAATTTTCTAAACAAACAATCTGATGTAGTTATTTCCTCAAACAACACTGTTATTGGATATTTGAGTTGGCCTATCTCCTGCTGAAGTTAAACTCTGTTCAGGTATTTATCATGTTTGAGATCTAATGGGAGAAATAAAGCTCAGAACGAAATGCAAGTTACTTCACCAAAGCAGTTACATATTCCTCTTTTGTGCATTTATATCAACAAAAACAAATCATTGGAGATTAAATCCATTTTTGAAGATGCTACAAAAGTTTCTTAAGCACAGTGATAACAAAAATATGCAGGAAGTGCTGCTTCCTCAGCATTAGAGCTAGGAGTTACTCTATCTGTAGGTACAGACAAAAGCTAACTATGTTTGTCCTGAACAGTATAGATCAGTCCTAAGACAAAGCTTTTTGTTATTTCCAAGTGAAGCTGCAGTGAAGAATAGTTATTACTTCCTGACAACATAATGTCTATTATTATCAAAATATAAATATCCTGCCCCTAAGTCCAACAAAGTCCAGTAATCTTATACTTCTAAAGAAATCATACTCTTTCTAGATGAGCAACTTACCCTTAAGGTAACATAAAAAGCTGAATGCATACTTGAGATTTATTGTTATACTGATGGATTCAAATTTATCTGAAACTATCCCCAAAACTCCCACCTTTCATTGTTCCTGATCATAAATTAATTCATGCACTCAATTTATCTTGTTTCATTTGGAGAGTCTCCCTTCAACACAGACATGGAAATGCCACATCATATTTACATAGCTTAGTCTAAAGATACTTTCAATAGCAAACAAGAGAGAGACCTGAAATTAAAAAGTGATTAAAGCATAAATAACTACACTGCAATACAATTAAACTTACCTTTAATGTTGATGTGGATACTGAGCCGCTATTGCCATAGTATGAAATAATTTTTTTCTCTTCATATTATGAATACAAACATCAAGCTACCTTACTATCTTATGCTCTGAGCATTTGCACAAAAAAAAAAAAATCTAAAAAAAATGCTCCAGTAGAGCTGAAAACTGTTTAATTTTTCTACACCCTCTTTTAAGAATGTTTGTCCTTCACATTTCCTCCAGGAGCCTGTACCTCTCCACATGCTCCAAATACCAAATTTCCAGACTCTAAACTGAGCACTTAGTTCAGTAGTATAAATTATTCCTATTTCTCCATTATCGTACGTTTTACCAATTTTATTGCACATGCTTTAGAAGATCCTCTGAAACCAAAACCACAGTAGCTCATTATTCACAAGAATTTCAGTGAAGTTTCTTAAAAATAAGTAGGATTACCTTGCCATAGTAAGAAATGGCTTCTTTATATTTATCTATGATGTCTTCAGGACTAAGGCAGTTCTTGGCACGTCCTATCTCAGCACTGGTATCTGCATTTATACCATTTGAAGTCAGTGCACCTAGAACAGAACAGGGTAAGAAATGAGCACGTGCTAAATGCTAAATATCTAAGAAGAAAACTAGGATATACTATAGGTTTGACCAAAGCATACACAAAGAATACTTGCCCTACCTAGAAAACAATAGTTCTGTTTTACTACGCTATTTTAAAGAGTACAAGTGAAAAATTGATTCCATCATAAACCAGCAAACAGGAAATACTCTTGCATTTACTAAAAAAACAAATATATTCATAATCTTTTACACTTGTCTGAATATTTAGACTGAATAAAGTATTAGGTTGCTAAAATTAGATTATGGCCACGTCTGAATATGCAATTTTAATCTTTGAATTATTCTACTTAAAAATTGTACTTGTAAAGCACACCTAAGGAAAAAAAATGCATTTTTTATAAACTATTAGAACAGTTACCTTCTCCAATTATTTAAAACAAATACTTCTCTTCCCTATGTCTAATCACAGAAAACCAAGTGTAACATTGTAACAAAGGCCACCAAATCTGAGCCTTCCACGTTAAAAAAAAAATTACCTGAGGCTCAGACAAAACAGTAAGAAATTGCTTTTCTTAGATCAGAAAGAAGGCGAGAGACAGAAAGAGTCTTTACATACATAAGGGATACAAATCTGAAACAGAAGCCAAGGAAATCTGGGGTATTACAAAGAACATGAAAATTTTATTTCTAGAATTTAATTTTATTGCAGAGTTAACACAATAAAATTGAAAACATACATCAAAGGTTTGGCAAGGCTCTATACCATTTTACTTGTTACTTAATCTGTAGGGTTATACTGTAATTTATTTCTCCAACAGGTTTCTCTACTAAGATGGCAAAGAAATCTTCATGTTTCAGAGCTGGACCTAACTCTCAATAGACAGTTAAAAACTACTGTGAAAGATACTTTCTACTCTACATACTCAGAAATACGTTATTTTACATGCTCAAATGCTAAAGGAGCTTTTTTATATGTTTATCAACCTTAAAGAATCATACCAAGCACATCTGTAGATTAACACCTTAGGGTTTTTATGGAAGTTAAGTGCAAAATCTTTATAAGTGATGACTGAAAGAGTCACTTAACACTACAAGACTACATGTGACCATTCAGGTTTGTCAATTTAAAACAAAAAATTAAAAATCTTCACTACTCATGAGAAGAAACAATCTTGATTAGAATTTACAGGGAAACAATCATAGAACTAAATAATTTATTTTGTGCCAGTTACCCTTCAGTCTCTTTGCTTCCTGAAGATTTATAGCCAAAACCTGAAGCATCAGGAATCAGTACTAGTTTTGGCAAGTAGCAGTAACTATCTGTACAAATGCAGAACATATGCAAGTAATAAAAGAAAAGACTTTGGAAACATGCATGAAAATAATGTACCTGGATCAATGAGAACTTCTTGTGCCCCTAAAAGGAGGAACAAAAATGATTTTTTTTTCAGCCTTAAATATAGCCAACAAAATAAGCTCTTATAATGTTTTATAACTAACATCAGGCTTGAACAAAATTATAAGATTTATTAGGATCATCATTGCTATTTTGAAGGACTACCAATTATAATTCAAGTAGTCACCATATGTTAGATTTCATTTTGTTAAAAAAATAAATGTAAAAATCCCGTAAACTTGCAATGAATTCCAAGACACATTGAGAAGAATTGAAGAATTTTCAGCGTATAATTTAAAGCCATATCCTTTTTCTCCTTTTTCTTTATTCTTGTTTTAGTTGGCAAGTTTCTGTCACAATCCACTTACTATATATTAAGATCAGGTCCTACAATACTTAAATCTCCTTGTGGGACCTCATTTAATCTACACAACACTCTAGAATAACCTTTTGAAGTAATTTTATCCCTTTCAATTGTCATTAATTTCACTCCATCAAATTTTCTGAATAATTGAGTCATGACAACCCAACAAGCCAGACTACTCACATAAAATAGTTGCCAAAAGTATTGCAAAGTTGGATTATCAGATATATAACACCTTGTTGCCCTAAATTTTGGTTAAACATGGCAATAAAGTTGTTAAGATCAAGGGTTAAGCAGCCAAAAACAATTGCTTTATGAGCGAGACAGGACCTCCCTTCAGTTGATTTGCTCAGACTCCAGACTAGTAAAGTAGAGATTTAGAGCTAGGATCAAAAAGATACTCCAACACTTCATTCAGGTGTCCTAATTCTTCTTGGGGAAGAAGAAGGTCAGGTGACAAAATTAAGAGCTTAGCACTTCAAACAAATAAAACACTATAGAGAAACCCAAAACAGCTAGTAAGCTAAACATAAAGCAATATAAACTCAGCTTATTCAACATACAAATAACATAGCCAGCAGATCATGGCCAGGTTCCTGGCCAACAGGCACTAAGCAGCTCAAAATCTTCCTTTACGCTGAAGGCTGCAGAGATTAATCCAGCTGTTCGAGGGGATACAGCCTAAAGCTCTCCCCCTACAAACAAAAGGTTTTAGGAATGTAAGTCAGACTTTTTTAAAACATCAAAGTTCCCTTTTCACAATCAGCAAGATGCTGCAGTCCAAGGGCTCACGGCAATGACCAGGAAACTCGTCTTTAGAGCAGGCAAGATTCCATGCCTCCTTCCATCAGACAAGTACTTTAAACACTATGTTATCGACTAATTCTCTTCTGAATGAACTATTCCTATCAAAAGGGTTTCAAAAGAAGCTGAAGGGTACACCGACAAAAAAACCAGACAATATTCTGATGGATACAGGTAGGTATGAAATATATTGCAATGCTGCTTAGTAGGGAAAAAAAAAAAACCACACCAAAAAAACCCCCCTTGAACACTGCCCTCTTAAGCTTGTGCTCTGTATTATACAAAGAGTGACGATATTAATACTTCCCTTTCCAAAGATGTTTCTATATAAAGCAGACACCACAACATTTTTTGAGCGGCCAGGTCCTGTGCTATAGCCTAAAAATGCCAAATGGTGGAAGTCACAGGAGATTCAAGAGAAAGATGTTTCTCTTGACCAGGTCTGGGCACAAAGGCAGTAGCAAGAAACCCTGTCCTGTTAAGGCTGAAGTACAGGCACAAGAAGAGGGGCAATTCCAGGCACATCAGGAAGCAATAAAGGTAACTCACATCTGTATGTCTCAAAAGTAGGCACGAATTGAATGTCAGTTCCAAGTATGGCATTTCTTGATTTGCGCAGAATTTGGAAACCCCTTTTGTTTCTGGCCTTATCCTACAGAAAGGTACGCTGGAATTTGTTCCCCAGATTAAATACTGTCCTCACAAAATTAATTATAACAAAGTAGATTACAGACAAACGTGCAGTTTGAAAAGATTTATATGAAAGGCACTGCAGAGTCAAAAAAGGGTATTGAAAAGAAACTTTCAGAAAACCTTGTAGGAAAAAGACATCACATAATAGCTGTTTGGCTAGACAGAGTTCAGCAGTTCAGATCTCAAAACATTAAGAGATCATAACTGGAGTTAGGGAACAGTATCTAATGGACCATGAAGTAACTTTTTCATCTGCAAGGGATGACAAAAAACCTGTAATCAGTTTTTCTTCACACAAAAGTCCTTTGAAAAATCCTGTCACATGAAACTAAAACATTTTTAAAATACAACCACACTAACAAGTTTGCAAACAGGACTTTGAATGACAAGACAACAAATACAGAGAAGCAGCAATAATATACCCAAAATCTATATTCAATTATTCTGATAGCTGTCATTTATTTGTCACCTTCTTTAGTAACAAGGAGTACTCATTACAAACAAAAAAATTGCAACATCTACTGTTAAATATTCATTGAAAAGTGGACAAAGGTCAATAACTGTGTGAAATTATACTGTAACAGCCAACATAAAACGTACTTATAGGTCATGGGACCAAATGCACAGATTTTAATGGCTAGATATTATACGAAAAATCAGTATTCTCTCAGGAAATAAGGTAATTTTACTATCACAATTATCTGATGTCAACATACACGGTTTGTAATAAAGATAATACAAAGCAAGTGTTTAGTAGATTGTGACTTATAGATGAATAAAGATGGGTGGTTGGAGTTTTTAGATGAAGGAATTCATTTTGATCACATTGCACACAAGAGCACTTACCACCACCACTTAAACCCAGCTTCTGTTTGTTTCAGTTCTGCATAAGAACCTGAGTATATACATAGAAACAGTTGTGCTGGGTTAGACGAAAGGCCCATCTAGCTTATAATAATCAACACATTTTTCTTTCACCACCCTAGCCAGCCTCTCCTGCAAGCCATAGAAACTTTTAGGAGCCTTAACACCGTGTGGCAAGTATTAGGTTATGCGATTAAAGGCTCATCTCCACAAACACAAAGGAGCACAGAGGAACAGTGACAATCAGCTGAAGCCCAATAACCTAATCAGAGCCAACAGAGCTGTCCAGGGGTGAAACCCATCAAGATCAGTTAACATGAGCAGCTCTCTGGATCACCTTACAGACTGTGGGGTTACCGCTTACAGGGATATGGGGCTTATTATAGGATACAGGAAAAGAACATCTTGGGATTGCACAAGATTTCTCATGGGATGTGTAGGGGACAAACCAAAGACAAGGAAAATGAAGGATCAAGGCAGTTTAGGGAACAAGCATGAAAAAACAGAGGGATAAGGGGAGTGCATGTGTGTGTGTGTAGGTCTAAGTACCAACAACTGGAATGGGGCTCTGGGTCTCGGAGGCTTCTAGGTCCAGGTGCCAGTAACTGGTGCAATCCAATGGCCAACTACTGGATGGATCCACACTACTAACAGGCTTTCATCCTGATCAGACAGAGAGGGGAGCGGGATCAGGCTGCTAGTGCTGTCTGTGTTTATAAGAGTGCTGTGTTTTCTGTCTGTGTTGGTCTGTGTGGCTGTGTGCACACTCTGTGTGTGTGTGTGCGCTTCTACATCTATTGGAAATGCACACTCAGCCTCATGGCTGGCTGGACCTGGGGGCATGGAGTTGCAGCAGCCTTGCCTCTATCACACTACCAGATCTGGTAACTACTAATGACAAGGAGTTCCAGGCCATACCTATACATTGGATGAAGAATAATTCCTTTAATTTGCTTTTCCATCTGCTAGTTCTATTTGATATCTTCCAGTTCTTCTATCAGAAGAAACAGTGAACCTCTGATCCCTATCCATCCTCTTCCACAACGTCCACCATATTAGAGCGCTCTCTCATATTCCTCCTCAGCCATCTCTTTTGCAAAACTGATGAGTCCTAGGCTATTCAGTTATTCTTTGTAAAGAGACCATACCAAGGTCATCTTTGTTGCCAATCTGCAACCTCCTTCCAGTAGAAAAATGGGACATAAGGAACATGAACACCTTTTGAGAGGGAAAACTGAAATGTCATACAATATTCCAGATGCAGGTGAACTACAGACTTAATGATATTTTCTATTTTTTTCTCTCTGTTACTCTCCTAATAGTTTCTAAAATATTTTAAGCAGACCATTTGTCAAAGAATGTCTATCATATCAATGTTAATACAATCCTTATATTAGTTACACAATCTGAGAGTTCAGAAAAAGTATACTAAATTTTAAAAATTACGTTGGTTTATTGGTATTTAGTTAACCAAATTTACTTATTATATGTTGACTTTTAATAGCAAAACACATCTGAATAAAAGTACCTAACTTATTCTTAATATGTGCACCTCTGCCACATCATATGTACTTCATGAGATACGTCTGTATCTCCTCCAGCAAAATTCAAACTAACACAGACACTATTAAAAATCAGATTAAGAGACCAAAAGCTTTGCAACTCTATGCAAAGCAGGCACGTTGCCATTAACACCAAAACAGTAGAAGAGTTATTAATGTAAAAATCTTAAAAAGAAATACAGGTGTCCCCTCCCACCCCCTCCTCCAGTTTATCCTGTCATCAGTGTAACTTTACACAGGAAGTAGGGAGGAAATTGTCAGATGTTCAGTGGTGGCAGAGTAAAAATGAAATTGCATCCTTACCTGGTCTGTGCCTGTTGCCTGCCTCAGCAGAAAGAGAACCTCCTTGTGCCCTGCGAGATCCAACTTTACCTCCAGTACCACCTGGATAATGATAGATGACTGATGCTGAGCATAACCCCTCAAGAGCAGCTGTAAAGAAAAAAGCCAACAAATTAGTAGAGATACTTGCCAGAAATGAAGTATCACATAGTAAAGTGTATTTAGACAACATTAAGTATGCCTCAGATTGGAGAACTAGTGACAAAGGTCATGGAAAAGCCTGAGATACTCAATGTCCTTTGTATCTCTGTTTTCACTGGTAAGGTTTACCCTCAGACCTCCCAGGTCCCCAAGCCTACTAGCAGTCTGTAGGAGTATCAATAGCCACAGTAGAGAAAGACAGACATACAAAGCACTTAATCCAATTGGACCCAAATCCACAAAACCAGATAAAATGCAACCATGGATGCCAAGAGAGCTGGCCAATGTGAGGCCACTCTCTTACCACCTCCAATGGGTCACGTCAGTTGGGGGAGGTTTCTAATGACTGGACAAAGCAAAACATCACAAGAAGGAAGTACCAGAGGTCTACAGGCAGATCAACCTCAACTCCCTTGCAAGGCTATAAAGAAATCCTTCTGGAAGCCATTTCCAAGCACGTGAAGGACAAGAAGGTGACTGGGAACAGCAAACATTGATCTACTGAGCATAAATCAGTCCTTGGCAACCTCACTGCCTCCTAGGATGAGATGATTAGCTCATTGGACTACGGAACAGCAGTGGATATTGGATATTTTGACTTTTACACAACCTTTGGACATGGTCTCCCATATCATGCTTATAGCCAAATTGATAAGATTTGGACAGCTGGCCTATAAAGTAGGTGGAAAATGGGCTGGATGGCCAGGTTCAAAGGATTTTGATCAGCAGTATGAAGTCCAAATGGTTGCCAGTTACTAGTGGTGTCCCTGAGGGATGAATACTGGGAACAATACTCTAATGTCTTCATTAACTGCCTGGATGATTGCATAGAGCACTCCCAGAAAATTCCTGGGTGATACCAAATTAGGGGGAACAGTAGGACAGGCCTTCAATGCAGAGAGAACTTGACAGGCTGGAGGTATGGGCCAACAGGATTGTTCAAGAAAGGCTCATGTATCTCAGATGGGATTAGCCTATGCAGCAGTGCAGCCTGGGAGTTGACCAGCTGGGAAGCAGCTTTGCAGAAAAGGACCTGGTGGTCGTAGTGGACAATGAGTTAACAGCAGTTGGTAGTAGGCCCTTGCAACAATGGTGGCCAACTGCATACTGGGCTGTAACAGTCACAGAGTAGCCAGCAAGCCAAGGGAAGCAATTACTCCCCTCTATTCTGCATCTGAGAGACCACATCTGGAGCACTGTGTCCAGCTTTGGGCTCCCCAGTTCTAGAAAGACATTGACATCCTGAAGTGAGTCCAGTGGACGGCCATCAAAATGGTCAGGGGGCTGGAGGCCATGACATGTCAGGAGCAGAGAGAACCGCGTTTGTTAAGCCTTAAGAACAAGAGGCTAAGAGATCTTATTGCTGTCTGTAAACACCCAGTGGGAAGACACAGAAGAGACAGAGTCAGATGCTTCTCAGAGGTGCAGTGATTGGATGAGGGTCACCGCAAGTTGACACAGGAAATTCTGCTGTAATGTAGGAACAATTTATGTTTTATTGTTGGGGGTTTTTTTCAAACTACAGGAAGCAAAACATTAGAACAGATTGCTCAGAGTTTGTAGAACTTCTGTCCTTAAATATACCTAAAACTCAACTGGACAGGTCCCTGAGAAACCTGATTTAACTGGATGTGGTATGACCAGGAGATCAGATGTGGGGACCTCCAGCGGTCACTTCCAATCCAAATAATTCTGAGTCTAGACGTATAATTTGGTAGTCCAACACATAGGCCTTAAATTATTTACGTGCCCTGCAGAAGTATAAAAGTTCTCCTTTCCAGCTTGAAGAATCCTGAGCCATTTAACCTTCTGAAAGAGTAGAAGGAAAGAAGTAGAAAGTCAGAAGGTATTATGGTTTTCATAATATGTAACGTACAGAGCTATTAAGAAGCTAAATGGATTTCCAAGTAGAATGAGAAAGCTAAAAGCCAAGAACTGGAGACAGCAATTTTCCTAAAAGGGTATGAAACTGAGAAGCAGAAATTGTGCTCAAAGATGACTTGTATGTCCAGTAAATAGAAAAAAGCAGAACAGCAAAAAAGAAAAGGAAAGGAGGAAGGAAAAGTCAGGGAAAAAGTGAAGCCTAGGAACTAATGTGAAAGGAAGTAAGTTATGCTCATGGAAGTTAAACACTTGTGGCTTTGGCAGATGTAAAGACAAAAACCTTCTGCTAACAGTCCACAGTAGATATCTGCAAGCAAGATTTTTTTTAAAGCAGCCGTACAATCCACTGAAAAAATAAATATCTTCCAGAGAAGTATTAAAAAGCCACACACAAGTTTTTTTTCTAAGTACATGCTCTACTACAATAATACATTTTATATTGCAGGTTTTCTTAAACACATTTCTTTCTCATGTCTTATTAACTAATTTTTATTTTGACTTAATTTTTAGTCACACCTGATATTCAGGTTTTGGTCACCAAAATCATTTTCATAATACAGAAGAGTTATTGAAGATAGTTTGATTTATTTGGGTTTAGCAACTAATTATTTGATTCACTATCATCAATTAATCCTACCTCCAAGCCACAGAAAGTCATTCACAGACCGCAGAAGTTCCACTGCCATGTGATAATGCACCAAGGAATCTTGTAACATCCCAGCTTGTAAACACAGGTCACCAACATGTTTCCGCATCCGGCCTTGACAACGCTTCTTATAGTGTCTGCAAAATAAAAGGTAAAATTTACAGTTATTTCCAGGAAACACTTACTTGAGGTAATAAACACCTAAAGTCAATTTTCTTTTCTCCTTAATAGCAGATCAACGTTAATTTACTCTGTTTCTCTGAGCAAACATCCAGTATGAATTCTAACCACCATAATACGCAAAAGAACCAACATTTTGAGGAGATACTGAAAAAAACCCCAATGCATCACATATGTTGGCTACACAGCATTTATGCAGATAGAGTTACAAAGTTAAAAGACTGCACTTCAGAGCACTTCAATAGCCTTGTCACAAATGAAATAAAACAGAATCATAGAATCAGACAGGTTGGAAGGGACCTTGAAAGATCATCTGGTCCAACCTTTCATAGGAAAGGGAGCCTAGATGAGATTATCTAGCAGCCTGTCCAGTCACATCTTGAAAACCTCCAAAGCAAGGTTCTTGTAATCCTCAGTGGGTATCTGGTTGCCTTTCCATAGCTGGTATGCTTCTTTTTTGCCTTTAAGTACACCCCAAAGCTCACTGTTAAGCTAGGATGGTCTCTTGTTCTGCCTTCTTCCTTTCCCTTGGTAGGAAGTGGACTGTTCTTGTGCTTCCAGGAGGCTGTTCTTGAATAACTCCCAGCACTCACAAGCTCCTTTGCTGTCCATGAATGCTTCCCATCGAATCCCTCCCATGTGGGCTCTAAGCATATTGAAGTTGGCTCTTCTAAAATCCAGGGTCTTTGTCCTGCTACTGGTCTTCAGTGTGGTCACCAGGATCTTAAACTCCCCAATGTTGTCGCTGTATCCAAGGCTACCATTGGTAGTTACGTTGTCAAACAAGTCTTCTCAGTTTGTGAGCAGTAAATCTAGCACTGCACCATTCCTAGTCACAGGTCCAGCATCTATAGCAGGAAGCAGTCCCCAATGCATTCCAGGAAACTGACGGAGAACTTGTGCACCACTGTGTTGCTTTCCCAACAAATATCCATGCAATCAAAGTCACCCATGAGGAGCAGGTTCTGTTGGCCCGAGACCTCCTTAAGCAGCTGAAGTAAGGTTTCATCAGCTTTATCATCCTGATTGGGAGGCTGGTAACAGCTATCTGCTATAAGATGTCCCCTGGTCATGATCCCTCTAATCTTGATCCAAAGGCATTCAATAGAACTTTCATGGTCTCCATAGCTCAGCTCCATACATTCAAATTTCTCTTTCACATGAAGTGCAACTATATGACCTCTTCTTCCCTTCCTATCTTTCTGAAAGAGCTTGTAGCCATCCACTGTCATCTTCCAGTTATGTGAGTATTCCCACCATATTTCTGTGGTTCCTATGACATCATAACCCTCAGAATGGGCATGGAGCTTCAGTTCCTCCTTTTTGTTGCTCAGACTACTTGCATCGGTTAGAGGTGGCTGAACTTACGATTCTTGCCTTTGGAGAGGGTTGGGGAGCATTCCTTACTACTCTTGTAGGTGCACATACCTACCCTGTTGCCTATGAACATGCAGGTGTCACAGCTTTGGACACTAACACCCCAAGTTTGTTAGTTTAAAGCACGATTCGTGAAGTCAGCCAATCTGCTAGCCAAGATTCTCCTGCCTCTTCTAGGTAGGTGGATCCTATCTCTCCCCAACAGGCTGTATTCGTTGAAGGACTGCCCATGATCACAGAAACCAAAGCCCTAGTGACACCACCAGCCAGGAAGCCATGTATTGACCTGCACGATGCCTCGACTTCTGCCTGTACCCCCATCTCTGACTGGCAAGACAGAGAAGAAAATCACTTGGGCAACTGTCCCTTTACTTGCACCCCCAAGGCTCTGAAGTCCTGCTTGACCTTGCCCAGGTTCTGCTTTACCATGTCATCGGTGCCCACATGGAAAAGAAGTAGGGGACAGCAGTCTGTGCTTTTAACCAGCTGGGGCAGTCATCTCCCTCTGACATCCCAGATCTTGGCTCCTGGCAAGCAGCAAACCTCCCCTGACTGTATACCATGCTGGCAGACAGGTGCCTCGGTGCCTCTCCACAGTCACACACTACTAGCGCTTGCCGTGTCCTTTTGCAGCTTTTACTACGTGCTGCTGGTGCGGCTTCTCCCTCTGAATTTTGCTCATGGGTTTTTGTCCTCTGCCAAGGCTTCCTATCTGTTGCTGGCTGGTACTTAAAATGAAGGAGACTGAAGTGATATCCTGTTCCTGTGGGTCATAAGAGACCATGGCGCCTCCGGCTCCAAGGTGCTGTCAGTTTGCTGGTGAAGCTCTTTGTCCAGTAGTCTCTGGAGGTCAGTGCCATGGGGCCCTAGCATTTATTCTTGCAAAGCCTCAAAGAATACTCTTGTTTAGCCCAGCTGTTACCTCCTCCTGCAGCTCCTCCACCTGCTGCCTGAGCGAGCCCACCAGAGCACACCTTGCACAGGTGGAGCTTCCACCTCCTGCACCCAGGAGGCAGGGGTGCAGGCTTTGCAGCCCTCCACCTGGACAGCAGCTGCCCTGACAGCAAGCTCTGCCTGGGTGGCTGCCTCCACTGGCATGGTGGTAGCCCGTTCCTGTCTGCTGCAGAGCAGAGCCCTCGCCTGGTTTCTACCGCCATGCTGCTGACAACCTCAAAGCACTGCCTAATCCGCCCTTCTACTTCCCCGGAGACCTCCAGCCGCTGGGTAGGCTTGCACAGCCACCAGCTAGCTGGGGTGACGTGTCGGGGCAGCAGCCCAAGCCTGAGGATAAGCAGAGCAAGC